AACAGAACATGCTTCTTGAATGCGAAGAACAATCTAAGTTTTGAATGTCACTGTGTTATACTAATTTAAAGTACCTCTGTAATCTGAACTTGAAATAACACCCCCCCCCCCCCCAAAAAAAAAAAAAAAAAAAAAAAAAAAAGAGTAAAAAATATCAAAATCACGTGAAGAAAATGGGATCGGTGATCGCTTGAAATGTGTTTTTTTGTATCATATTCTTACATCATACCAAGTTTAAAGCCGTGACATGACGTTTCCGACAAAGTGGTCAAATGACATAATCGTAGAAACGTGTCGTCAAAGTTCACGCCAATATTCCTTTATGATATGACGCGCGCTTTTTAAGTTTTAAACAGTGCATGCATCCGTGGTATGTATATAAAACAATCCTTTAAATCATATAAACAAACAAACAGGCCTTTAAATCTACTTGACCCCAAAAATGTTTTTTTCTATAACCTACGCGTCACATTTTATTCTTTTATAAAAGATACAAGTCCGTCACAATCACTCTGTCACTGAGCACGATATATTCTACAATTACCTTTATTATTTTAACTATTCTAAAGCTATGCTATATAAACATAAAAATAAAATGTTTATAAATATATCTACATACATCTAGGGACATACGAGTGTATAGACAATCTGGTAAACATCTATCAAAGTGTGGCCGGGTATCCTTGAACCCCTAAAATACTCGCTTAATCGTATTTTAGGTACCATAAGAAAGATATTTCAAGGAAAATTTTAAGTATATAAAACTAATTTCATCTATTCAAACGACACTTGACATATTGTCCTTGAAACAGAAAACACTTTCAGCGCTTACTTACTTAAAACAATTAAACAATAATCATAATTATTCTTTTAGTTGTTATTTTATTTCCTGTGTTTTCAACATGTCGCGGCTGATTTAAATAAATTGGAATGAACAATAGAATAAGGAAGATATCACATCATGTGGAACTTATTGTTTAATATAACAACTACTCCAAATAAAAATATTTAATTAAGAAACAATGTGTGTGTTCGTCGCTTGAAGTTGTTAACATACTATCCTGCTTAATATAGAATTAAGGAGGGGGGATAAACCGAAATATTTTTGCCCTGTTCTTTATTTGATGTTAAACTTGTTTCTTTGGTTACAAGTGGCTGTGAGTAAATTGCATCATAAGTTGTTGTAAGGAGCGGGAAATGGATGATAATAAGGTAAATACTGAGAGAAAATAATTATTGATTGATTCTGTCTTAATGAGCTAATTTCAGTTAAAGTATGAACATCTATGTGTTCAATATATTGCACGTTTGTTACGTCGCTTTTCATAGGATAATCGTCACGTTTATATTATTAGTTATAAAGATTGTTGACAGGTTATATGGCCCTATATAAACGGTTGTTCGTAAATATAACCCGAGCCGCTATTGGCGTGAACTTTGACGACACGTTTCTACGATTATGTCATTTCATAAATCGACAGCAGCCGTGTATATAAATCTTTATTACCCTTCCAGATTTTTTCCGCCTTTTTGATTGGATATTGATCACCCGAAAGAAATTGATATAACCGAGCCAGACGGGTAATATACACACTAAATTTCGACGTTGTAAACAATATGTGCTGAGGTGATGCGCGTACGGTTCGACTTTCCGCGGTGTAAATTCCGATTTACAAGCACTTTTTAACTGTCAAATGATAAATATTTACCAAAGTAGAGTAATGATACATATTCTAATCAGTATTGAAAACAAATATGACCTTGTGAAAGCTTGATATTAATTACAAAAAAGTGCGTTCAATAGACTACTCCTTTTCTCTTGTTACAATTTGTTAGGTACAGGAAAAAATACGTCATGTATTTATGTGACGTCATGTTGTGATGAAGGGGTACCTTCCGCTGGGCATTGGTTCTTTTTCAGTCCGGGTTGTTAAATGGAAATATAAAGATGAAGGGCACTATATAATTATGTTCTTACTGTACTTGGCATTTTAACTAGAATGGTGCATTATTCCGCGAGAAACAACTTAAAATCGATATAAGTTCACATACAAAAATACTTCAGTAATAAAACAAAATATTTAGAATGTCGACTATTCTAAGATAGATACCTGCCAAAAGAGTTTTCAATTGAAGGAAAAATGGAAGCGGAAATCAGACATCTATTTGTTTATATAACTATATTGTTTTAAACACCAAAATAACCCCTTTTTTTAGGTCAAAGTAAGAAAAAGGTTGTACTCGATTGAAAAGTGCGTTATATATTGTATGTCAAGTTAAACGCTTAAAATGAAATAATTGTATCGGGTTGCTTTCGAATCCACCACCGTTTGCGTTTCAATCATTTTTGCCATTTATTTTATAAACAGACAATAAAACTTTCAAAATATTAAAAATATGGCTTTTTTTGTAAGTGTAATTCATACGGTGTGATGCTGTTGTATTTTGGGGTCGTTTTTCATACATTTGTTCGTGTTTTAACCAAAATTCAGCAAAAGTGGTGTCCCTTCGTCAAACTGTATACAGAAGTGTTTGCATAAATGGCAATGAATTGCATGGTGTGCGTATAGTAAGTTTGAAGAGTACAAATGTGGGCTCCAGTCTCACTATGTGTTTCCCGTAAAACGTCATAAACTTACCGAGAACAGCAAACAGCCATATTTTATCCACCCCTGGGCGGTGGAGTATTCGTCGCAGAAGCTTTGCCCAGGCCAGTGGGATCTTATCGAATGTGTTTGTCAAAATAACTATATTTTTTACGATTGTCGATACATGAGACTGAAAATAGTAATTTAAAGTAAAGGAAATAGTAAATATTGTGATGTAGTATTACCTTCGCCACGTCTTAAGGAGCCTGTTTATTTGCCGTCCTATATAAGTGTGTGTATTGTTGAATTTATTGATGGATTCAATAATAAACAAATAAATAGAGGATGATAAATATTTAGTCGAACGCGCACGATAAGGTTTTCATTTTATGGTCTTATCATTATGCTGTAAATGGTTTTGCAAGTTATTTAATTATTGCATTTTGCATTTTTATTTTAACAAAATAGAGAATAAGAGTGGATGTGAACACATAAGTCCAAGTAGCGTAGTGGTTAGAGCGTTCAGCATATAACAACAAATAAATGTTGTTTTTCCTACCAGAAATTAGAGAAAATAGTTTGGTAAAACTTCAGGAGCAATGTTCTCAACATTCTGCATGTTGATAAGTCAAGAAACCTTCACAATTGCTTATCAATTCGCATAATGGATATTACTTTAATTAATTTCAAACTAAAGAAATTTGGATTTTATAATTAAAATAAGGCCACACACTACTATCTTAAGTATAACATTCATTGTTATAGTTTTAAATATATATTGATAAATAACATCACATCTAATACTAAAAGTATGTCATTTTAGTAAGATATATGAAGTTCAATTCGTAAAATATCGAAATACCTTCGGTCTTACGTACCTTATTAATGCAATATTGTGCAGTTTTCAGCTACATAACAACGGAATGTTTTTTTATGTGATGCACCCATTGATAAAATCAGTCGATTAATTATATTGACACCAATATCATAGGGTACACTGTCTTGTAAAACAACGTCCCCCATTCATCATACAGTTTTTATACCGATTGAACGGTTTTTTCATGTACGAAAACTTGTTAATTTGCATTATGCACGATAAAATGGCCATCAGATAATCAGGTATAAGATTTTATTTAATTTCTTCTCATTTATATATTAAGTTGTATTCTATATAATGAATTATTAACACGATACATGTATTTCGCCTATAAAATGTTTTCCTCATGTCTCAATGACAACACCAATTAATAACACTATCGGGGCCAGTGACATAAGGTAAACAAGAAGATAAATGGCATGTTCAGGCGATGTCCATACATATTTTATTGGTGTTTGTTTTTGAAATGCAGTTAACGTGAAACAAAAACGTTCGATTGAAATATTCGTTACGTCAAAAAATAACCAGCAGTAAATGTTAAGCTGACGTGATATTATGACAATTAAACGGCACATGGTCATAAGTGAATGGATACAAAGATACGTATATACGTTGTTTTTGCATTACTTGTTTCTATAACCGCATTTTGCGGGCAATTTATGTGCTAAAATGACAAGCGATGAGACATTTATACAAAATTACCACAATACATATGCCTAGGTTATAACTTGTAACTAATAATGGTGCAAGTATTATATGTTGTTGTAGCGTTAAGATACACAATAATCTAGAACAAGCATAAGTATATGTGAGAAAAAACAACACCAATGTTGTTGAGGGCAAGGTGTAAATATTGTCACTTACTGACAAATTAACGATTAGTAAGAGATAAATTAATGAAGGCCATGAAACAATTATGTCGTCTATAAATAGAAATAAGTTATGGAAATAATCACACACATGCAGTGACTTTTGTTTGCAGTTTTTAAACAAAAGGAATAATAAAAATAGTTATATGGTTAAAGTTTTTGAACGAAAGGAATAAACAAAGTGTTTATATCAGTTACGAGGAATAATAGGAGCGGTTATATAGTCTTTACTTTTAAACAAAAGGAATAATAAAACAGTTATATGGTTGAAGTTTTTAAACAAAAGGAATAATAAAACAGTTATATGGTTGAAGTTTTTAAACAAAAGGAATAATCAAAGTGAGCGGTTATATAGTCTTCACTTTTAAACAAAAGGAAAAAAAGAAACATTTATAAGAAAGGAATAATTGAAGCGCTTTTTATATGCCAGGTTATAATAGTGGCAGTTTTTGAACAAAAGAATTAATAGAAACCCTTAAATATCTGTAAATGAATCTCCTTGTTACTAGTAAATTAGAGAAAAAATTCTTGAAAGAACAAAGGGACTTCGATTTTAAACATATACACATGTACATATACATGAATATGTATGGATAATTTAAATTCGCCGTAGCTTCCGATTTTTATTATACATACAAATATATTAAAAAAAAACAAAAAAAACAACAAAAACAAAAAAACAAGGGTAATAAATGCCACCGAAGAAGGCTGAAAATCCCGAAGCTACGGCGATTTCAAAATAGCCATTTTTGTTTAGGGCAAAGTTGGGATTTTATCTATATAGATAAATATATGGACAGACAGGAAGTCGAATACATTGACCAACACTTAGAAGTGATCAAGTTAATGTGTTTACTTAACAATAAGAACACTTAAGTGTTTTATTAAGCTCTGTTTGGAGATAATAAATATATTGTGTTGAAGTGTGTACAGCATATTGTAACTAATACCAATAAATATAATATATTGGTAAGAATTGATGTAATGTCAACAACACCACGCCTATTCGTGATGGATCTGTACCAAGATAAAAGAAGCTTCTGCAGTTCAAGATAAAGGTACGATTTTTGACATTTAAATCTACGAACTTTAAAGTGGGTTGGTCTTTTATGAGCACATCTTTTTATAAGTATTTCAAATATTGATAAAAAGAATAGAAATGTATCAATTGGATTATCTTATAAAATGCTGCTTGAAACAAAATATCAATTATCTGATAAATAATAATATTTTGTTCTAGAACACTTATTATCAGTTAAATATTGTCTTATAAAATGCTGCTTGAAACAAAAGACCAGTTATCTGATAAATAATAATATTTTGTTCTAGAACAGTTTATGTTCGCCTATATAAATATAATTATGTAATATCAGGTCACGTGCCTCAGATGCCAAGATTTTAGTGCATGCGTATACCGACTAGGGATGGGTCTATGGCTAAACGATTTATACCAGTAGATAAATAAGTAAAACACAATTTCATCTCAAAAAATAGATTGAATAAAATTAGCAACATTTTCCCCTCGAATAATCCTGCTAGATGGCATTTAAGTAATAAAAAAATAATCACACAAAACCCTTTCAGCTAATTGGACAATTCTAAATGTGGCAATTGTGAGTCATTAAGGACAAATAATTCAGATTAGAAAAGAAAAAAGAAATTGTGCTCATAAATGTCACAGAAATTGTAAGACCAATATTTGATAGAAGTTTTTATAATTTATATATATAATTGATACATTAAAAATTCTTACGAAAATAACGTTTTATATTAGAGAGATATTATAAATTTATACAATGTACAAATACGGGCATATAATAGTTATAATCATGGTAATGAAAAAGTAACACTGACTTCACTGTCATTAGGTATATGATAACTTGCTATAAATGTTTATATCTTTAATATCTATTAAGTTTAGGTTCGTTGCCCTGCCCCTTACGACCGAACACCTTCACACCCGCGTTTTAAAATGACAAGGTGAAAAAAGCTAAAACACAAACACACACACACACGCACACGCACATACAGAATAACAACAACAACAACAAATAAACAAAGAAGAACAGGGATGGGGAGGGGTGGGGGTATTATCAGTCCATGGGATCAAAAAAATGTTGTTAATAATAATGAAAGTTGAGGATGAGTTTCAACAGTATGCTAAGAGTAATGATTTTTTCATTGAAAATTTGAAACAAATATTATAACGATCATTCATCATCCTCCACCCCGAATCATTTATTCAAGTAATTAATATTTTTCAATATGAGTATTTTCCGGCCACTCAGTTAAAATTGATAGGAGTGCTTTTGTCCGCCCTGTCAAAATGACGGGAGGTGGTGTTAGGGTGAAGGGTGGCTTTGTCCTCACCAGATGAAGAAAAATGAAGTAATTTTGTCGGAATCAGTTGACACACATATTCGTATAGGGTCTTTCGTTCTCTTTATTTGAAAATTCATTTACGACACATACAGGTAAAAAGTAATTTAATTTTAAGATTTATATTTTTTTCTATATTTATCTAATGAATACAAATGAATGCTCTTGTAATGTTTTAAATGAGTGACAGAGTAATTATTGTTAAATGTTAAGATAAATCCATATGCCAAAAAAACTTTATTTTGAATCGATAATGATTTTTGCAAAAAATGCTTTTCTTTAATCGATTAGGTTTTCTTGACAATAGTTATATGCAATTAAACTGGTGACAGTTGGCCTTATAAACATCAAACTTCTGCGTACATGTATGTTTACAACACTATCGGTATGTGTACTGGCCACATATTTATATACCAATAATATAAATCATAGATAAAGTATAAAAAAATCGTTTCATTTTGATTCACGATAACAAAAATTAAAAATATATATTTTCTATATTTGGTATGCATTTTTTTGATACCCAATTCTCTTTGTGTTTTTTTTACAATTATATCCTAACAGCTTTAGATAATGAAAACAGCTGTTATTCCCGCATCGTCATATAAAATGATAAACCACCTATAAAACACAAATGCTGGCACAATTATCAAGTTTGTATTACAGGATTATATTACAAATCATATAGCAGGCTGGTATAAATGTTGTTAAGTCATTACCACATTTCCCATGATGCTGAAATGAGATTATTATAGTTCTTGTAACTATAGAAATAATTTTCCTGTCATAGTCATTTTTATATAGAATAATGTTAACAGCTCTCTCCCATGCCGTTATTCTGCATTAATTCATGAAACTTTATATTACATAAGAGGGCTATATTTTTAAAAAAAAAATAATCCAGTATTTCACCCATCAATTAATAATTAAATCACCGACTGCGTCTCTCCAAGTATTTGAATATTTATTAGAAGAGTGCTGGGACTGATATGGCCGCGCTGAAAATATTTTTTTCTCACGTTTTTAATGTGATTGTACACGCATTATTAGACTCGTATAGATTTTCCTTTCAATTTTAAAGTCTCAATTAAAAATCAAAACGCGTGCATTAGCATAAAAGCTTACTTTTGTTTTGTTTGTTGGTAAAAGATTTTAAATGATACGTAAGTGAGTTAAAGTGTACGCATTTATATCGTACAATCAAGTGAGAAGTACATTATACATGTATATTTTATTCATTCAATTACAAAGTGACGTTTATTATGTTAATATGTACGGTGTCATCCGGACAATTTTGTCATTTTGTACATATAAGAAAATTTTGGAAATCTATCAAAAAATGTTTTAAAAAGAACACCAAAAATAATGATATAGGAATAGAAAATCTTCATGAACATTTTTCTACATTGTTTGATGAAAATGTTGAGGAAACTTACTCTGTTAATGATGATACATTTGAAAATATACAGGATGAAGATTTAGATTCACCGATATCTGAAAATGAAATTTATAAAGCTGTATTTAAACAAAATAATTTTAAAGCTACCGGACCGGACGGTGTGTCGGCAGAAATTATTAAATCTTCATACAGTGTAATTTCTCCTTTTCTTTTGTCAATCTTTAACCAAATATTTGAAAATGGACAATACCCGGAAATCTGGGGAGAAGGATATATTTTTCCAATATTTAAAGGGGGTGACCCAAAACTAGCAAAAAATTACCGTGGTATAACACTTAACAATATTTTATCTAAGATTTATTCTCAGGTTCTACTTAATCGGCTAACAATATGGACTGAAAAACACGAAAAACTTGTAAATAGTCAATTTGGCTTCCAAAAGGGTAAGAGCACAGTTGATTGTATATTCCTTTTACACTCAATTATTTCAAAAGTCATATATTCGGGTAAAAAGCTGTACTCCATATTTATTGATTATGAAAAATGTTTCGACAAAATTAATCGTTCTTTTCTTTGGCAAAAACTTATAACAGAAAATGTGAGTACTAAAATGGTAAAAGCTATAAAAGCAATGTACACTGTAGTACGAGCATCTATTAAATATAATGGGGTAGTACATAATGATGTTATAAACTCTCATCAAGGCGTTAAGCAGGGAGACCCCAGTTCTTCTCTATTGTTCATGATGTTCGTAAATGATCTAATGAGTAATATAAATGCAGACCTTGATGGAATTTTCACCTTAAATGAGCTTAGTCTATTTTTGATTTTATATGCTGATGACCAAGTATTATTTGCTACATATCCCGACACCTTACAAAGCATGCTTAAGGACATCGAAATATACTGTAATACCTTTGGACTTAAAATAAACATAGATAAAACCAAAGTTATGATTTTCGAAAGAGGCAGACCTACACATTTTGATTTTTATCTTTATGGCAAAAAACTTGAAATAGTAACGTCTTTTAAATATTTGGGAACATACCTTTTTAAAAATGGAAATTGGTCACGAACACAAAAAAGCATAGCAGAACATGCATCAAAAGCACTTTATAGACTGTTTGCTATTCTTCATCAATATGAATTCAAAACTAGTGAAAAATGTAAATTATTTGATTCATTAGTAGCATCAATTCTTAATTACTGTTCGGAGGTATGGGGAAATATTGAAGGTAGTGATATTGAAAAGATTCACACGAAATTTTGCAGAAAAATCCTAGTTGTTAATATATCAACAAATCTGACAGGATTATATGGAGAACTTGGTAGAGAACCAATGAAAATTGTAAGACAAATAAACATGATTATTTATCATGCAACTACTATGGTAACTGCCCGATAACACTTGCCTGATAATTATTTTTGATATCAGGTCAGTAACCTGATATCAAAAATAAGCCCCGCCCATTTTAACGGACTTTTTTCAATTGCTTATATTCTCATTTTCATCAGCATGTGAATTCTACAATGTAATCTCATACCCTTACAAGTCTTGAATCAAGGTGCGATATTTATTCATTTATTATTTCGATTTCAATGACGAATAAATTAGATAGCGAATAGTTTAAGCACCAACTAAATGAAGTGACGTCATAATTTATATTGCAAATGACATCATCGATGTTCACGTCATACTATACATGTAATCATAACAAACAGGCTAGACGATTTTCTTTGAGAACTTGTAAATGTTTACTTTATTTCGCCGGATTATTATTTAATAAGTGAACAATTTGTTTCGTTTAAAAAATAAGACGCATGGTTGTGTAGCTTGTTTTTGATTGCCGATTTGAATTCTTTGATTGAAATTAGATCTATCGTGAACTTTTGAATTTGACAATTCAAGACAAAAATTGCAGTAAAGTTTAGTTTATGTGATTCTAAGTGGATTTTTGGATCGATGTTTAAATTAAAGGTAAGAATTTTATCGTATTAGACCTACATTCTGTTGTATCTTTTATCCGAGTCGAAAGAAAAAATGGCCGCCATTTACAAATTCTAAGTTTCAGGGGCGGAGGAATTTGTTTTCAAGAATTATTTCTTTGAACAAAAATCCCCCTTTATAACGGAATTCGCTATTTAAAAGTAGATTATTTTGTTATTTTGACATTTATTATGTGTTACATGATAAATAGAAAAACATGCTACTGTCTTTTGATATCAATTTTATCAGGCTCGGCTGATATGGGCAGAAAGGGCTCGGCAAGCCTCGCCCTT